GATTGATTACCGCTTAAATAAATATTTAATTTTATTTAAAACATAATTATTTTAATTTTTATGAAAAAGGGGGGTAGGCTAATAAAATGTACGTACTCTAAGGGGGGAGGGAGTAAGACCTTATGTACAAAGGGGGGGGAGGGGTTTGAAATTTCTCCATTTTTGTGTACGTACTTTTTGAACGGCCCCTTTATTCATGCTCCTTACATAACTTTTTAATTTGTTTTAAAATTTTCATTATTATTTGCAATTAATAAGTTGTCTCAATATTATTAAAAAAAATTGATTTAGTATAATATACATATTTTAAGAAAAATTAAACATAAATTAGAAATAACATTTTCCAAATAATAAGATTCACAAATTTCCGATTTTCAGATTATAACTACAATTTATATGGTAAATATTAAATACAAATTCTCCCAATCATACATACAAAAAGTTTTCATAATCATTTACAATTAATAAGCTACTCCAATTAATATCATAAAAAGAGATTAACATAATATTAATATATGCAACACTTTTTCTTGCCATTTCAGTGGTTAAATTCGACTCTATATTAATATATTCAAAGATTTAGTTGACCTACTTTTAACTACATGAGAAACGCCATATTGTTTACTCCGTTCAAAACAAAGTTTGGAACGAGGAGAGCTAGTGACGTCGTTGATGACGTAGGACTAACCCTGTCTGTGGGGTGTAGGTAGCGCAGAGCAGAACGCTCTACCTATGGCAATACTTCACATGCTTCCCCTATTACCGTGTGGAGAGTCATAGACGAAAGAAGTACGTTAGTTTCTCTCTTCATTTTAGATGTCGTGTATTTAGCCGTTCGAGGCTATGTTTACGAACTATCACGCCTACGCAATCGAATTTGGACTTTCCTTCTAAAATTTTCAGTTTAGATTCCTCACCTGTTAGTGTTCTGTATTCCAAATGTTGTAAATAATTAATATATAGTGCTTGTTAAATATAAGAGTGTTATTTCCTAAACCCCCACGCTATGGGACAGCACACTGGCGACGAGTTTGTGAATTTTATTTTCCTTTAATACAAAAAATCATCGTTTGAAAAAGTTGCGTATCAAAGCGAAACTAATTTGGATTAAGGTTTCAAGTACCTGAAGAGAGGTAACATTTTTGCTCTTGAAGACTGCTCTATGTAGGACAATTTTTCCAAATGGAAGACCTCATCTCTCAATTAATTGAACAAAATAAATTGTTAATGTCGGCGCTGCAGTCGAAAGACGAAACCTGAAACAAAAGCAACGTTACTGGTGTGAATTTCGAGAAATTCGATGATTCCCAAGAAACATTTGAATCTTTTTTGGAGCGGTTTGAGGCTTTTTTGGACATACAAAATGTTCCAAATGAAAAAATAGCGAAAACTTTAATTTCCAGCTTATCAGAAAAATTGTATAATTTGTTAAAAAATTTGTTGGCACCCAACAATTGGCACCCAAAACTGATTTTGAAACCTTAAAAAACACTCTTCAAGATCATCTTCACCCAAAGCCATTAATTATTCCTAGCAGACATATTTCCTTAATCGTAAACAACATAAGGGAGAAAGTATTAATGCTTATTTAGCAGAACTTCGTTCATTGGCAATGCCATGCAATTATAAACAAGAACTGGTGAACACTATGCTGTGGGATGTTTTTGTGAGCGGTCTCCGTGATCGTGCCACATTAGACAGACTTTTCGAAGAAGATGATATAGATCTCGAGCGTACTGTAAAAATTGCTTTGGCCATGGAAAAGACTAGCAAGAGCACCCAAGAAATAATTGGCAAGCCAACAGAAATGAAAGAATTTAAGGCTAACAGGAAAAAAGAGCCGAAACAATTCTGGTCTAACAAAACGAAAGTAAAAAATAACTTTGCATGTTATCGGTGTAAGGGATCTAATCATTCCTCAAGAGAATGTAAATACAAATCTGCAACATGCAACTTCTGCCATAAAGTTGGACATCTAACAAAAGCGTGCTTTTCTGCCGCTAGAGCAAAACAATATAAACATGTTAACCAGAAACAAATTGACACTGAACCCGGATGTTCAAGTGAAAATACTATATCGCCGTCCCGTTACACGCATTAAATGACCAAACATTTTACGAGGAATTAGCTAAAAGACCACCAATGATGATTAAAGTAAATATAGAAAATTCTCCAGTTCAAATGGAGGTCGACACTGGAGAAACAGTATCGGTTATGAGCATCAAAAGGTTTCGAAAAATCTCTAATAAAAAGATAAAACCTACTAAACTGATTTTCAAAACCTGCAAGGGAGATGAGGTTGTACATCTTGGATATGTTTCTGTTAAAGTTGATTATAATAATATATCATATAACTTAAATTTATATCAAGCTAAAGAGAATTTAGATTCTATTTTTGGTAAAGAATGGCTTTATGAAATTCCATTAAATTGAAATACCATTAAAACAATTAATACTGTAAATACTAAAGTTAATTTCGATTAGTCCAAACTTTTAAAAGACTTTCAACATCTCTTTAGTGATGAATTAGGGGAAATTGAAAATTATGAATGTAAATTTGAGTTAAAGGAAGATACCAAATCGATTTTTTGCCGACCCCGGCAAGTTTCCTTCGTGCTAAAACAGAGAGTCAATCGAGAAATCGAAAGACTCGAAAGGGAAGGATTAATAGAAGAAATAAACATATCCGATTGGGCTACGCCCATAGTTCCGATTGTCAAACACAGCGGATCGATTAGGCTATGTGCTCATTATTCAGTAACGATAAACAAACATTTAAAGGTACAAAAATACCCGCTTCCTCGAACTGAAGATATTTTTGCCTCACTCAGTGATGGCAGGGTATTTTCTAAAGTTGATTTTAGCCAAGCTTATTTGCAAATGGAGGTTGAAATGGAAAGTCAGAAACTCTTAACCATTAATACAGAAAAAGGTCTTTATACTCCAAAAAGATTAATGTACGGAATTAATGCAGCTCCAGCCATTTGGCAAAAATACGTTGAAAGTGTATTCCATGATCTAGAAGGAGTTGAAGTATTTTTTGATGACGCACGCATAGCAGCTCCCGATAACGAAACTCATTATTTCAGATTACGAAAATTTTTTGAAATATGTCAAGAACATGGTCTGAAAATTAATAAAGATAAAAGTAAATTCTTTCAAAGTGAAATTTAGTTTTTAGGATATAGGATAAGTTCTGAAGGACTTTCAAAAACATAGGAGAAAATAGCTGCAATTAAAAATGCTAAGGCACCACGAATTGTTCAAGACGTTTAGTCATTTACGGGTCTCGTGAATTTTTATTCAAGGTTTTCTAAGGACTTAGCAACTTTGGCCTATCCTTTATACAACTTAACCAAGAAAACCGTTACTTGGAAATGGGATCGCACTTGTTAGGAAGCTTTCGAAAATGTGAAAAACGAAATTTGCTCTGACTAAATACTAACTCATTAAGACCCAAACCTCCCTATCTTGCTATCTTCTGATGCTTCACCAGTGTGGTTGGGAGCAGTACTTTCCCATAAACTCCCAGATGGTTCAGAACGACCCATAGCATTTGCCTCCAGTACTCTATCTCCAACGGAACAACGTTACTCTCAAATTGACAAAGAAGCTTTGTCAATCGTTTGGAGTGTTAAAAAGTTTTACCTCTACTTAAAGGGAAATAGATTCACTTTGGTTACTGACCACAAGCCCCTGGTTTCCATCTTTTCATGTAAAAAGGGTCTCCCAGTCCTTTCTGTAACAAGACTTCTGCATTATGCTCTTGTTCTGCAAGCTTATGATTTTGATATTGCTTATCGCAATACAAAGGACCACGGCAATGCCGAGTGCTTATCACGTCTACCATTGAAATCTGAAGAACTGGAATTAAAAAATGATATTGCAGTATACCAAATTTCCCAAATTGAAACCTTACCCGTTACTGCCAAAGACTTAGCAAAGGCTACTCAGTTCAATGAACATTTCGGGAAGCTTTTAAAAATATTACAATATGAAGGTCAATTAGAAGGGAAGGAAAAATATACCTTACAGGATGGGTGTATTATGTATGGGCAATGAGTGTGTATTCCAGACTGCTACAAGGCAGAAATATTAGACGAGTTGCATCATGGGCATCTTGGTGTAGTAAAAATGAAAGCAATTGCCAGATCTTACGTGCATTGGCGAGACATCGACCAAGGCATAGAAAATTCTGCGAAAAACTGTTTGGACTGTGCTAGGTTCAAAACAGACCCAGCAAAAGCAAAAGTTCATCATTGGGAATATCCCAGTGCAAAATGGGAAAGAGTGCACATTGATTTCGCAGGACCTATATTTGAACGGATGTTTTTACTCATTATTGACGCCCGTTTGAAATGGCTCGAAGTTTACCCCATGAAGACAGCCAACTCATTCAAGACAATTGCATGCCTCCGAGACTGCTTTTCACGTTATGGACTACCTGCAGTTTTAGTTTCCGACAATGGCACACAGTTTACTTCTCAAGAGTTCCAAGCATTTATACGAAGCAACCCTTATGAAAGTTTCTTCTTCAGGAGCGCAACAGCCCTTT